GCCTGGCCGGCATCCTCTCCCTGCACTCCGGGGCAGCCTCAATGTGGCTGTATGTTCCTGTGCAAAGATCAGAAACTGGACAAGCTTGTTGAGGAGGGTTTATCCTCCGAGCAGGGCTCTGCATATTTCATGATCCGGAGGGTGTGGTGAAGCCGCAGTTACCTGTTGGGGCAGACCATGCAGTGCACATTTCAGGAGAGGTTTCCCTAACCTTGGCCTCTTTTGTTTTTTCAATCTCAATGCAATGTTTTTTCCTAGGTATGGACAACGAAGGGTCGAATGTACATGTAATTTCTTGTATTCTGCTTCTTTATTTCTGGGTGTTTGGGCTGTTTTTAGCTGAGCTGTCCGCTGAGGCTGCACCCTTTCTCAATGCAATGTTTTTTCCTAAGCTCATACATTTCCCATCCTCAGCTCATGCACGTACAGCACGTGTGGCGTCATGAATTTCCTACCCTAAGCTCATGCGCGGAGCAAGCTCACCTATTGAGCTTACAGGTTGGACGTGAATGAAAGGTTGTACCTGCTGGTTTGAAGTATTGCGAGTGAAGCGGGAATTTGTATAGAGAAGCACGTGTGTACCATTTGTTGTTTTGAGGTGACAAGGACATGTGTAGGATAGGGAGGAATTTCAATGAGCCAAGAAGTCCTTGAGTGGATTGGGGTCAGTCACCTTCTAGAACGTTGGCAGCCATCACCTTCTAGAACGTGGGTGGCAATCCACGTTCTAGAATGTGGGCGGCAATCGCCTTCCAGAACGTGGGCGGCAATCACCTTTGAGTACAATTGCAGGGAAAAGGGATTGGGATTGTAATGTAATGCAGCTTGCACGTGTACAGCAGGCCAGTGTCGCCATGGACTGTATGAATGATTTCAGCCTGTTGGAAATGATGAGTGCAACAGAATCCAATCCTGAATATTACGTGAGGATTCACAAATCGAGCTTTTTAAATCTGATCCAACGAGTCTCTTTTACTAGCGAAAGGAGGGAAAGCAATGGAAGGATGAGAGAGAGAGAGAGAAGAGGGGAAACTTCCAGAATGTGGGAGGCAATCACCTTTGAGTAGTATTATGCAGGAAACAGCAGGCTGTGTTTGTTATGTCATGTGGTGGTGGTGAAAACGATGAAACTGTCCTCCGTGTACATGGCAGTTTATGTTGTTTGCTTGTTGCGTCTACCTACTGGGCTCGGAATTCAAACCGCTCCTACGGATTTGGTGCAGTACTTCTTTTGGACAAATTCCAGTGTTTAGATTGATGGCAATACAATGGAATCCAACCCTATTTTCATGTGCAGCTTCCTGGAAATGATGATCACAACATGATTTAATCCTGAATATTATGTGAGGATTCACAAAGCGAGCTTTTTAAATCTGATCTAAGAAGGCTCTCTTGTCAGCATGGAGGGCTTAACCCTAGACGCGCAGCAGAAACCAGTAAGCTGGAGTCCGGTAGAGACAGAGGGAATTTCCGGTGGAGCTGTGAAATGCGGTGGAATGCGTAGATATAGGAAAGATCGAATCACTCTTCCGGTCAGATGACGCTGAGAGATGAAAACTAGTGGAGCGAATGGGATTAGATACCGCAGTAGTCCTAGCTGTAAACGATGGACAGTTAGTCCTGGACGAACGTGGGTGGCAATCACCTGCATGAAGTACTATTTTGTAGGAAACAACTGGCTGTGTTTGAAACGTCTTGTGGTGGCGGTGAACCTTAAACATCTGCATGAAGTTTTATGTTTGCATGTGGGACCAACGAGGGTGTCATTGATCAAGAATTGGGCTCGGCTGTCAGACCTGTAGCCCATCGTAATGATGGGTCTACCTACTAAGAGCGGTCGAAGCTTGTTGCAGGTTGCACGTGTACAGCAGGCCAATGTTGTCATGGACTGTACGAATTTTTTCTCGCTGCGAGATGAAGTTGGGAAGGTGGGCAGTCCAGGCGCTTTTGTTGATGGCATCCACGACAATCACCTTCTCTACACATTAAGGAGGACCATGGAATACCTCTAATGGAACTATTGCAAGTGCCCGTCAATATTAAATAGATAGTTGTTTTGCTTGTAGTGTTGTAATCGGAGTAGCGGTGTAATATATTAGGTAAGCGCTAATTGATGTGGTGGTAATTACAGTAGCTCCCCAAAAACTCGTTTGTCCCCATGGCAACACATCCTACACTTGCAAAAATCACTGACGTGAGAAATCAGACATCCGGGCCTTCCGTGGTCCTACTGGGTCGACGACATGGATCATCGGACGATCTTCAGGTTTTAACATCGGGCGAAGATCTGGGCCGTCCGCGGTCCTACCTGTCTGACGGCCTGGATAGTTGCACGATATTAAGATCTTAAGGTCATCTGAAGCATGGGGCTGCACGTGGGGCACTTGGTCGTCGGTAGGTTGAGCTGCAAGTGCAAAACTGAATGTTGGTCAACAGGGGCTGGGTTAAATAGTGTTGACTCGAGAGGTTGACCAGACTCTTGTCTCTCCGATACTACAGCCAGTGGCTTGGATCCCTTACAGTTGCAGATTTACACCTGGTCTTGATCTCTCGGGGATACTTTCGAACAGCCAAAGATGTGTTTTGATCTATTGCCTGGAACGAGTCCGCGTTGACTTCGCCTTGTGAATCTAAATTTCCGAGTTGCTGTGGACTGTTGACTATCTTCGGTCAACTGTTGCACGTTGGGCCGCTGAAGGCCAATTTCCAGGCCTTGTTTTGGGTGCTGTGACAGCAGACCTTGTGGGTAGGACCCCTGTTTAACCTTTTTACCACGGTAGCAACTGATGCATGATTTGAGTTAAGTTATTGCAAGTGTCTTGGCAGCGTATCTTAAACGTCTTCCTGTATGCTTCTTCTGTGAATAAGAGGAAGTTGTTGGCAATGATTTCTGCTAGCAAGTAGGATTGGAGTAAGTGATTGATCAAGCGATTGGATCTGGGTGGGTTTTATATGGAAATGCACAAAAAACAGAGTAATCATGATGTTTTAGAGCGATTGAATATGGGTGTGTCTTTATGAGTTGCCCCATGAAGGTTGTGTGAAATCGGACCAGGGCGTCCTGAAAAGGCTTGTTTCAACG